ACTTGATGCCAAGGGGGCCGATGAGGTGTTTGAGGTCTTGTGACTGCGAGTTTCACCTCTTCAAGGTTACATTGGGGGGCGTCGTTTAGAGGTAGTTCCTTGATTTGACGGATTTTTTGACGGGTGGATTTATTGTAAGAGTGTGGGACGACTGATGACAAAAGTTTGTTGAAATGGTTGGCGATGTTATTGTTGTTTATGACGGATTTGTTGTTGAAAGTGATTGCACAATTGGGTGGCGGTTTGTAGTGTCCGTCTAAGGCTTTGATGGTCTTCCAACGTTTTGATGAGTTTTGGCGATGGTCAAAAGATTCAACAAACTCGTGCCAGCGTTCTGTTTTGGGCTCGATTGATTAACTTCGTGATTTCAATATTGAAGGCTGGGATTTGTAGTATTTTTAGTCCTAAAAGTGTTTCGTTGGTTTATTAGCGTTGAGGCTTTTTTAGGGAGGCAGGGAAGGTGTTGCTCGTCGCAACCCGCTGGGATGGTGTGCTTGGTGGTAGTCGCGATGATGTTTCTGAAAATCTTTTCATAGTTATGTGTGGATATGGTTGATGTCGGCGAATAATGCTTCTGATTTAGAAGTAAAAAGTGGCCAGTTGGCTTTAAAAAAGTTGTAATGCAAGCAGTGTTTAGGAGTTTGTGAAGGCTTGGCAGCATTGAGGGTCAACACAATTGGTAGGTGGTCGGATCCAAGGGTCGTGAAGACTCGCCAGTCGATTGATGAAAGGAGGTTTCCTGGCGCGATTGAGATATCTGGTGAGGATGAAGAACCAGGTGACGGAACTCTGTTTGATTCTTTTCATTGAGTACCACATAGGGGGAGCCGTTCAAGATAGCGGCAATGAGGTCACCACGTGCATCGGAAAGGGAAGAGTGCCAAAGTTTGTTGCGGGCGTTGAAATCTCCAATAACAATTGAGTCGTTGTTTGGTAAAAGTCGATTTATATTGAACTGATAGTTGCGAGGGCAAGAACTGGTCGGTGGGATGTAGACGTTGATTACAGTGAGTGGGCCGAGATGGGATTTGATACGGACGCTTAAGACTTCTGTGATGATATCAGAAGGAGGCATTGGGATTTTAATTTCCTCAAATTGAATGCTGCTATGGATGAGGAAATCTAGACCGCCACCAGCTGTTGGTCGGTCTCGACGGAGGAAAGTGAAATTTAGAAAGTTGGGCGGGCGAGAAGTGGATTTTAATTTTGTTTCTTGGATGGCGGCTTTATTAATGGAGTTGTGTTGTAGGAAGGTGCTGAGTTCAGAGATTTGTTGTTGATGCCGTTGATGTTTAGTTGAAGGATTTTTAGGTCGTATTTGTTGTGGACGTTTTGTTGTGGTTGAAACGGTTGTTGCGATGGGTGAGGTGGTGGTGCTAGTGTGGTTGTGCAAGGTGGAGTTGTTGGAGTGGATGATGTACAATATTTGCAGAACCAGCCGGAATATGAACTGGGGATGCGGGCTAAAGTAGCGCAGCGTTTGTGGTACCAAGCTTCACAACCGTCGCATTGGATAGAATTTGCATTGACGTTCTTGCCGCAGCCGCCACAAGGCAAAAACGGGACCTGGATTTAATTCGATGTCCCCAGCAATAATGAGAAGCCAGCTCCAGTGTGCCGGGAGGCCTGGGCTGGCTGGCGAAAAAACAGGAAAGTGCGAGGGGCGATGATGTTGCCATTCGCAAGTGCTTTCCTAGTCCTTGCCAGCGGGCGTTCGACACTTCACGTGGTGACGTCACCGCCACTTAGTGGCGAATGGAGGTTGTTGTTGGCAGTGCCGTTCAAGGTGGGTGGCGCTGCTGCTGATGATGATGACGTTGGTGGTGGTCGTGCTGGCCATAGTGGGGGAGCGGTGGTGTAGCGGTTAGCGCTACACTGCGCTACGCTCACGGCCAACACCGCTGATAATTATCTGAATCGGTCCCGGGCCTCCCATAGGTTTACTCAGCCTAAAATGAGTACCTGGTGCGGTGTGTAAGCAACGCCACTAGGGAGACAAAGGCGGCCGGGCGTGGTGCTTGCCACCCACCCCCTCGTGTGCTGTGCCGGCCTTCGTAGGTTCCCGCTAACAGCACTTGTACCAACAGTTTGCCAAGGCTATACGGGGGATCCTTGTCTTTGGCAATAGCAACGGTGGTGGTGGCGATGCTGCTGCTGCTACTGGCACCATCACTGCTGCTGGAGGTGACGGCGCGTGGAGGATTGGGGTTGTGGTCTCCCTGCCTGGCTTGGCGTGACTCGTCTACTCCGCGCGTGACGCGTGCAGGAGACCCCCGGGTGGCGGAGTGGGGGGGGGGCAGCAGGGAGGGAGAGAGATGGGAAGGGGAGAGAGGGGAGAGGGAGACTGACTTCTTGGAGGCGTTGTAACCTGACACGCTGCTGCTGTCAACGCACAACCACAGCGTGGGAGAGCGGCTGTGACAGTGCTCACACACGTTCCTACCACGTTCCTACCACGTTCCTACCACTGTCCTACCACTGTTCCTAACATTGTCTTACCACTGTTCCTACCACTGTCCTACCACTGTTCCTAACACGTTCCTACCACGTTCCTACCACGTTCCTACCACGTTCCTACCACTGTCCTACCACTGTTCCTAACATTGTCTTACCACTGTTCCTACCACGTTCCTACCACTGTTCCTACCACTGTTCCTACCACTGTTCCTAACACGTTCCTACCACTGTTCCTAACACGTTCCTACCACGTTCCTACCACGTTCCTACCACGTTCCTACCACGTTCCTACCACGTTCCTACCACTGTTCCTACCACTGTTCCTACCACGTTCCTACCACGTTCCTACCACTGTTCCTACCACTGTTCCTACCACGTTCCTACCACGTTCCTACCACTGTTCCTACCACTGTTCCTACCACGTTCCTACCACGTTCCTACCACTGTTCCTACCACTGTTCCTACCACGTTCCTACCACGTTCCTACCACGTTCCTACCACGTTCCTACCACGTTCCTACCACTGTTCCTACCACGTTCCTACCACGTTCCTACCACTGTTCCTACCACTGTTCCTACCACGTTCCTACCACGTTCCTACCACGTTCCTACCACGTTCCTACCACTGTTCCTACCACTGTTCCTACCACTGTTCCTACCACTGTCCTACCACTGTTCCTACCACTGTCCTACCACTGTTCCTACCACTGTTCCTACCACGTTCCTACCACTGTTCCTACCACTGTTCCTACCACTGTTCCTACCACTGTTCCTACCACGTTCCTACCACTGTCCTACCACGTTCCTACCACGTTCCTACCACTGTTCCTACCACTGTCCTACCACTGTTCCTACCACTGTTCCTACCACTGTTCCTACCACGTTCCTACCACTGTTCCTACCACGTTCCTACCACTGTTCCTACCACTGTTCCTACCACTGTTCCTACCACGTTCCTACCACTGTTCCTACCACTGTCCTACCACTGTTCCTACCACGTTCCTACCACTGTTCCTACCACTGTTCCTACCACGTTCCTACCACTGTTCCTACCACTGTCCTACCACTGTTCCTACCACTGTTCCTACCACGTTCCTACCACTGTTCCTACCACGTTCCTACCACTGTTCCTACCACGTTCCTACCACTGTTCCTACCACGTTCCTACCACTGTTCCTACCACGTTCCTACCACTGTTCCTACCACTGTTCCTACCACTGTCCTACCACTGTTCCTACCACTGTTCCTACCACGTTCCTACCACGTTCCTACCACGTTCCTACCACGTTCCTACCACGTTCCTACCACTGTTCCTACCACGTTCCTACCACTGTTCCTACCACTGTTCCTACCACGTTCCTACCACGTTCCTACCACGTTCCTACCACGTTCCTACCACGTTCCTACCACTGTTCCTACCACTGTTCCTACCACGTTCCTACCACTGTTCCTACCACTGTTCCTACCACTGTTCCTACCACGTTCCTACCACGTTCCTACCACTGTTCCTACCACGTTCCTACCACATTCCTACCACTGTTCCTACCACATTCCTACCGCGTTCCTACCACGTTCCTACCACATTCCTACCACATTCCTACCACTGTTCCTACCACGTTCCTACCACGTTCCTACCACTGTTCCTACCACGTTCCTACCACGTTCCTACCACGTTCCTACCACGTTCCTACCACGTTCCTACCACATTCCTACCACTGTTCCTACCACGTTCCTACCACGTTCCTACCACGTTCCTACCACGTTCCTACCACGTTCCTACCACGTTCCTACCACGTTCCTACCACGTTCCTACCACATTCCTACCACGTTCCTACCACGTTCCTACCACGTTCCTACCACGTTCCTACCACATTCCTACCACGTTCCTACCACGTTCCTACCACGTTCCTACCACGTTCCTACCACGTTCCTACCACATTCCTACCACTGTTCCTACCACGTTCCTACCACGTTCCTACCACGTTCCTACCACGTTCCTACCACGTTCCTACCACATTCCTACCACGTCATACCACGTTCCTACCACGTTCCTACCACGTTCCTACCACGTTCCTCCACCCACGTTCCTACCACGTTCCTACCACGTTCCTACCACGTTCCTACCACGTTCCTACCACGTTCCTACCACGTTCTTACCACGTTCCTACCACGTTCCTACCACGTTCCTACCACGTTCCTACCACGTTCCTACCACGTTCCTACCACGTTCCTACCACGTTCCTACCACATTCCTACCACGTTCCTACCACGTTCCTACCACGTTCCTACCACGTTCCTACCGCGGTGGCTGAGCGGCCCCTCGCAGTCGCAAGGCCGCGAGTTCATGATGCTGGTTTGGTGGCGGCGGAGTGGGGAGTGGGTTGACTCAGCCGGATGTCGATGAAGCGTGTACCAATTTGCGTGAGCGGGCTGACTCCATCTCAGAGCGCACCGCTCTCTCTCGTGTCCCACCTGTGTCTCATGTCTTCCCCACGTCTGCCCGTGTCTTCCGTGTCTCCCCCTTGTCTCTCCGTGCCTCCGCAGCTGTGACGGCATTCAGCAGAAGGTTCACATCTCTGTGGTGACGGCTCCGCTCCAAGGCGAGTTGCTCCACGTGGAGGCGCGCCACCACCGCCACCACCACTACTGCCACCACCGCCTCGACCGCCACCGCCACCACCACCACCACCGCCTCCGCCACGACCATCACCACCGCTTACACCACCATTGCCTCCACCGCCACCACCGCCTCCACCACCACCGCCTCCACCGCTTACACCACCACCGCCTCCACCACCACCACCGCCACCACCACGACTACCGCCACGACCACCGCCACCACCACGAACACCACTACCTCCACCACCACGGCCACCGCCACCACCACCGCCGCCGCCACCACCGCCGCCGCAACAACCACCGCCAACACCACCACCCCCACCGCCACCACCACCGCCGCCACCACCACCACCACCACCGCCAACACCACCACCCCCACCGCCACCACCACCGCCGCCACCACCACCACCACCACCGCCAACACCACCACCGCCAACACCACCACCACCACCGCCAACACCACCACCACCACCACCGCCGCAACAACCACCACCGCCGCCTGCCGCCACCACCACCACCACCACCATACGTGCGCAGTGCTCCGTGAGAGGGCACAGCGACGCTACCACAGTCTGCGTCACGCTCAGTACAGCGACGCGTGCCTTGAATGTGCAACGCCTTCATCTAGTAGCGACTTTGATCGTCTCTAAAATGCTATCTCAGTTTTAATCATTGTTGCGACTTTCTGGATTTCATCATGACTTGCTGGATTCACCTGAAGATACTTGTCGCGGTTTCAAGTAAAACTCCGCCTATTATATGACTATATATAACTCTATGTGGCTGTGAGAATCAACATTCGGGTCACCGATGCTGGTGGCCGTGAGCGGGAATAGAACTCAGGTGGCCGGGTTCTCAGCGAAGCACGCTGACCGCTGCACAGCGGCTCCGCAGATGCACCAGCTGTGACCCCCACTGTGCCACCTTGCTGTGTTTTAGTTGTCCGGCGCTCCACTCGCTCACCCAAACACTCACTCACACGCTCACTCATACGCTCGCTCACACTCTCACACTCACACTCTTATACTCACATGCTCGCTCACACTCACACACTCTCACTCACACTCTCACACTCACACACTCTCACGCTCACACTCTCACGCTCACACGCTCGCTCACACTCTCACACTCACACTCTCACTCACACTCTCACACTCACACACTCTCACTCGCGCTCACACTCTCACACTCACACTCTCACACTCACACTCTCATTCACACTCACACACTCTCACTCGCGCTCACTCACACGCGCTCACTCACACGCTCGCTCACACTCACACTCACTCACACGCTCTCTCACACTCACACACTCTCACTCACACTCTCACACTCACACACTCACACTCACTCACACACTCTCACTCACGCTCACACGCTCGCTCACACTCACACACTCACGCTCACTCACACGCTCGCTCACACTCTCACACTCACTCACACGCTCTCTCACACTCACACACTCTCACTCACACTCTCACACTCACACACTCACACTCACTCACACGCTCTCTCACACTCACACACTCTCACTCACGCTCACACACTCTCACACTCACTCACACGCTCGCTCACACTCTCACGCTCACACTCTCACACTCACTCACACGCTCGCTCACACTCACACACTCTCACTCACGCTCACACACTCTCACACTCACACGCTCGCTCACACTCTCACACTCACACACTCGCGCTCACTCGCACGCTCACACTCACACACTCACGTTCACACACTCACGCTCACTCACACGCTCGCTCACACTCTCACACTCACACACTCACGCTCACTCACACGCTCGCTCACACTCTTACACTCTCACTTACACTCTCACACTCACTCACACGCTCGCTCACACGCTCACACTCACACACTCACGCTCACTCACACGCTCGCTCACACTCTCACACTCACACACTCATGCTCACTCACACGCTCGCTCACACTCTTACACTCTCACTTACACTCACACTCTCACTCACACTCTCACACACTCACACTCGCGCTCACTCACACGCTCGCTCACACTCTTACTCGCACTCACACGCTCACTCACACTCAGACTCTCCCACTCGCGCTCACTCACACGCTCACACGCTCACTCACACGCTCGCTCACACTCACACTCTCACACTCGCGTTCACTCACATGCCCGCTCACACTCTTACACTCACACTCTCACTCACACTCTCGCTCTCACTCACACTCTCATTCACACTCTAACACTTTCACGCTCACACTCTCACGCTCACACTGGCGCTCACTCACACGCTCGCTCACACGCTCACTCACACGCACGCTCACACTCTGCATGACGGGGGGGGCGAGGGGAGAACACACAAACCCGACACAGAAAGACCCCCCCGAGTCGGGAACCGAACCGGTGCCCCTTGTCTCTTCCGTTGTGCCAGTGGCGCGAGCGGTGGCACCGCTGACCCTGTGCCCCCCCCGCCCCCCCGTGTGCTGCGTGCACAGCGAGCGGTGGCGCGACGTCGCGGCGCGGCCCCCACGCCACCGCCCTCCCACGGGGCCCCGGGACGCCGCGCCCCGGCGCCCAGCGAGGCTCACTGCGGTAAGCGAGAGGCTTGGGCGGGGGGGGGGGGGTGAAGAGGAGGAAACTAAAACGAATAAACAAAACTTTGAGCAGGTAAGGCCCCACTGAGCTACGTAGCTCTTTAGTCAGAAGCCCGGCCTGGCCATCACACATGATCGCAGCTCGATGAAGTGGCTTGTCGTCATCGTCGTCGTCATCACGTGGACATTTGTAGCAGCAGCCGAACGCTCTAAATGCCTGATGTCGATTCTTAATGTCGAGGGAAAAAACGTGGCCACGGTGAGAGAGACAAGGAAACTCCAAATATACAGCAACAGGCGTCAGGGTCGGGATCTAACCCATGCCCCCCTGCATACCAGGCGAGGTAGTTAACATCTCCTAGCCTTCATCCAGCAGTGCATTGATTATGGCCGATGATGATGATGATGGTGGTGAGCGGATGGGAGGATGAGCCGCATCGTAAGGGAATGCATTCGGAGAGAATACAGACGTGGCCTCAGCGAGCGGCTCAAGCACTTGTGAAGGGGTTGGTGGCTAGCGCCACTCCGCGTTTGTCGCCCCGGTGCCGGTGTTTGCTCAATTTCGCCGCGTACTCCTGGCAGCCTGAGTCGGCCCAGGAGGAGGCCCAGGACCGTCACTTGATGACAAAGCTCAGCGGGGAATCAAACTCGGGTCGCTGGTCTTCGAAGGGACGTGTCCTCACTATTACGCCAGCGTTCTCACAGACGCCGAATGGGAATCGGAATGTTCATTTAGACTGCCGGAGGAATCCGATGAGCTACGAAGCTTTTTTTGACGGCGTCGAGCTGGCACCGTCCGCTGTACCTCGTCGTCCGGCGGCGGTGGCGACCCCCTCCCACCCGGCACCGGCAACAAATTGCTCGGTGCGCTCGGAGCGACGGCGCCGGAGTCGTCCAATCCGCGCGATTTCAACGCGTGGACGGGGGCCTGACCGGTAAATGTTTTCTCGTCGCGACCGTCGCCGGGGGGGGGGGGGGGGTGGGGGTCTCGAGAGCCGGGCGCTGGTGGCGCCGGCGTCGGCGCCGGCGCGGTGAAGGAGAGTGGAGATGAGGAAGTAATGAGAGGTACACGGGAGCAGAGGCTCGGTAGGGGGAAGGGGAGTGACGTGGCCCTGGTTTTGGTGTCGTGTCCGCAGGGTTTAACGCGGTTGCGGATCGCCGCCCGGCCGGAATCGACGGCGACGGTGGCGGCGCGGATGCTGCCGCGGCGACGACTCCGGCCCTCCACTTCGGTCGTCCCGCCTCTCCCGGCGCCGGAGGGACCGCGTCGTCTCCCACGACCACCCCTCCCCCCCCCCCCTCAATGACCGCTCACTAATCGATCCGCTCAATTAGAAAATAATATCGGAAAATACTTTTACAACGCATTTTTTTATTACATTATATATATATATATAATCCTCACGGTTGGCGGCGCGGCTCTCGAAGCGGCGGCTGTCGCTCGTCCGCTCGCCGCGACGGAAAGGGCGGCGGGCGACCTCGCCGGCTCCCGCTCTCCCCCTCGCCACCGCCACCTTGTCCATGCACTCGCCGCTCCGCGCTTTCCGCCCCGGTCGTCTCCGCGCCGATGATTACGACGCCGCCGCCGTCGTCGCCTCTGCGTCGACCCGCCGGCAAAGCGTCGTGGCCCCTCTCCCCCAGGTGAGGCCCCCCTCTAGCAAAACCAAACTCGCGATTGCTCCTCCTTGCCACCACTGCCCGGCGCTGCAAGTCACCGTGAGCGGGCGACCTGCTCAGACGGACGCGTTCCCCCCCCAGACCACCCCCCGCTCCGGTCGGCCCGCGGCCAGCGGCCTCTCAGCCGCCCGCATCTGAGGTCAACGCTGGAGCTCTCGGCGAGTGAGTGCCACCTCGACCTGGCCTATGCAAGGGCCCCCCAACTCGATGACAGACGGCCGAAAGACGGGGCCCCGTTTGGGCTCGAATCGAGGAGTCAGACGGCCACTGTGCTCCGAGCGGGCTGCCCAAGTGGAATGGTCTCAGCCTGGTCGCGCGTTGAGCATGCGGCAGAGCGGGTGGGAAAGTTCTGCCCTCGACTGCGTGCGGACCAGAGTGTCGCTCGGAGGAGACGAGGCGATCTCCGAGGTAGCACGGTGGTGTCCACTTCCGCAGGTCGCATTACTCTGCGAGACTTCCGACAGCGGCGCGATCGGAGATGAAATATGCGGGGGAAAGGCAAAATAATAATATTAAATGAATGTTCTCACAAACGTTACGCTCAGCACAAGAGCGACTGCTGTGATAGTCGACCAATCGCAGCGGGAGCGGGGGTTGCGTATTCCTATCGTTGTGCATGTTTAGTCGGGAATGCCTGCGTCTCAAGACTGTTTGTCGGGAGGGGGTCCTGCTCGGGTTTTTTGCAGTGAGGGGCGATGTCGCTGCTGCTGCTGCTGTGTGATCCAAATTTGAGTGATCTCGCTTGTCGATTTTCAGCATTGGGGATGTTTTGGCCAATTGTGTGTGCGTGTGCGTTTAGCTATTAGAGGAGGAAAACCCGGAGCGACCTGGAGGAAATCCATGCACACACACCCCATGTCTTTACCCTACAGCCATGCGTGTACACAGACACACACACCCCCCATGTCTTTACCCTACAGCCATACGTGTACACACACACACACACACCCCATGTCTTTACCCTACAGCCATACGTGTACACAGACACACACACCCATGTCTTTACCCTACAGCCATGCGTGTACACACACACACACCCCATGGCTTTACCCTACAGCCATGCGTGTACACAGACACCACACCCCCCATGTCTTTACCCTACATCCATACGTGTACACAGACACACACACACCCCATGTCTTTACCCTACAGCCATACGTGTACACACACACACACCCCATGTCTTTACCCTACATCCATACGTGTACACAGACACACACACACCCCATGTCTTTACCCTACAGCCATACGTGTACACAGACACACACACCCCATGTCTTTACCCTACAGCCATGCGTGTACACACATGCACACACACGTGTGTTAATGCGTCATGTGTGTCGGTGTGCCTGAGCTCACTGCCTAAGCCCTCTTAGCGAAGTCACTAGAACGCTCATCGTTCTTGCGGCCATTCCACGATTGCTTATTTATTGTACACCACCATTGTCGTCGTCGTCGCCGCCGGCCATGTTCAGTCCACTGCTGGATGAAGTCCTCCACCAAGCCGCCGGCCGCCGTCTCTCAAGGCCACGCGATGCAACGACGAATCCAGAACCTGGCCTCTCGCATCGGCCAATTTCCTCGCTCGCCCCCCCGTGCCGATTTGAAATATTTGTTTTATTGTACCAGGTGTGTGTCCCCCACTGATCTACGTAGCGCTTTCTTTTTTGAGAAGCGACCTTGCCATCGCAAATGAAAGTGCAACGAAATGGCTTTTATGATGTCGACATTTATAGCAGCCAAATACTCTTAAGCGCATGTTGATGCTAAATGTCGAGGGGGAAAAACCGGAGGACCCGGAGAAAAATCCACGCAACCACTGGGAGACACCGCAAACTTCAAATATACAGCAGGTGTCAGGGTCGGGATCGAAACCCACGACCTCCTGCATAGCAGGCGAGGTAGTTAACATCTCGCCACGGGGAGAGAGAGACATCGCAAACTCCAAATATACTGCAGGCGTCAGGTTCAGGATCGAACCGACGACCTAATGTATACCGGGTGAGGTAGTTGACATCTCGCCACCGCAGTAAATACACGGCATGGATCGTGATGACCCCCCTGTGACCTTCACTCGCTGAGCGCAGTTGGCCAGTGGTGGTGATGGGGGTCGGCATGTTTTGGGTTCAGGTTGCCGACACCTCGTGGCTGGGGGGGGGGGGGGACCCCTCTGGCTTCATCCGCGCCGCGTGGAGCCGCGACGCCACCTCGTGGTGCGGTGGCGGCGTGGGTAGCCACCCCCACCCATCCTCCTCCTCTTCCTCCTCCCCACGCGTGAGTCCCCAAGGCTCTCGTCGAGTGGGCAGCTTTTTAATCCTCGAGAGAGCGAGAGAGACCAGGATAGAGGAGGAGTCTCATTGGCAAGAGTGACATGAGGGTGCGGGGGGGGGGTCATCAGAACGACAAAAGCGCAACAGATACGGCTCGAGCTGAGGTCAAAGCGCTTGTGAGGTCGTGCATGGAAATTCCACGTTCCTGTGGCATAACGACGGCGGAGGGCGATGGTGGTGGCGATGTTCGGCCGTTCATGTTGAGTTGACCCTGACCGGGATTTGAACTCGGTCAAGCTACGGGGCGGCGATTAAGCGATTGGAAATCTGGAGCGAAAAAAAAGGCCACGCGTTTTTCTTCATTTTGCTCCGGTTATAATTTGCTGCTGCTGCCCACGTAAATTTGATGGACTGGCTCTGGCATCAGTGAGGGCTTGGTGGATGTTATTGCCCTGTTACCCCACAGCGCCTGTGGGACTCTGGTTGATCCGTGCAGCAGCTCCAGCAGCTCCAGCAGCAGCAGCAGCCCTCGGGGTTTACCGGCGGTACGAGTTCTCGCATCATCACGGCGGCAGTCGTCGGCGGGTGGCTCGGCGACAGTCACCGTGGCTGCGCGGTGGTGCCGCAGTGGCGACACGCGCAGCAGGAAAGCGCCTCGATTCCATTCCCGACTCGAGCGCCTTTCTGTGCGGAGTTTGTGTGTTCCCTCTCTCTCTCCCCCTTGTTCTGCGTTGCTTTTCCTCCGCGTTCTTCAGGTTCCTCCTCTCACAGCGAAACACGCGCACAGGTGCACACACACCCAGGCGCACACGCACGCACACAAATGGACGCACACACAGGGTAGCGCGCACACACGCACGCACGCGCACTGTGGAACTGGCATTGGCCAAACCACCATCCCCAGTGCTGCAACAAATGCCATGCGAATGTCCTCAGTTGGGATCAGACGTAGCAGCAGCGGCAGCAGCAAGGTTTGGCAGGACTCTCCTTGAGACTCCGTGAGACTTTTCTGGGTAAACCGGCGGAATCGTGGTCCTGTTTAACGTGGATGGTTCTGAGAATCCTCTCCTCGCTCTAGATGAGTGCGGGCAGCGTCGAATAACGGACGTCATCGTCGGCACGATCGTCGCAGGCGCGCGCAGCTGCCAGCGGGTGAACTCGGGGGGGCCACGTGTTGGCCACCGTCGCCGCCGGCTGCGGATTTGCCGACGAGTCGCTTCGAAGTTTGAAACCCACGCGAGCTTCGCTGCTGTTGCGCCCGTGGCTGGTGGGAACGCGTTGCACCTTGAGGACCGCACGGTTCGCAAAACAAGTTTTTTTTTTATATTTTAGAGAAACGTGATTGGTTTGAAACGGCATTCGTGTTTGCATGGGCGTGTGTATGTGTGTGCTTGTGCGTTTAGCGCACTGCGCAAATAACTTGGAGACCCGGGTTCGATTCCCGCTCACGGTCAACACCGGCGTCGATTATCTGAACCGGTCCTGGGCCTCCCCTAGATCGACTCAGCCTCAAATTAGTACCTGGTGCGATGTGTAAACATCGCCACTAGAGAGACAAAGGCGGCCGGGCATGGTGTTGGCCACCCACCCCCTCTTGTGCTGTGCCGGCCTTTATAGGTGCTAGCTGACAGCACTTGCCCCAACAGTCTGTTAAGGCTACACGGGGGATCTTTGTTTTTGTGCTCGTGCGTACACGAGTGGGGAGCGGTGGCGCAGTGGTTAGCGCTACGACCCACGGCTTCCCAAGTCCGACTCCCGCTCACGACCAGTAACAGCGGCAGCGAATATTTGAAGCGTTCCTGGTCTCTCCTTAGGTCGACTCGGCCTTAAATGAGTATATTGGTGCAGTGTACAGTATATAAAACAACGGGGAGACAAAGGCGGCCGGGAGTGGTGCTGGCCACACCGCCCCCTCGTGTGTTGTTGCGGCCTGCATAGGTGCTATTTGCTAACAGCACCTACCCAGTCTGTTAAGGCTATACGGGGGATGTTTGTGTATGAGTGTACAAGTGCGTGTGTGTGCATGCGTGTGTGAATGTGTGCATGACACGTGTACAAGTGCATACATGTGTGTGTGTGCACGTGTGTGTGCATGTGCGTGTGTGAGTGGGGAGCGGTAGTGTAGCGGGTAGCGCTACGCTGCGCTACGAACCCGGCGACCCGAGTTCGATTCTCACGGCCACCGGCGCCAGTGACGATTATCTGAACCGGTCCTGGAACCTCCTCCCCTAGGTCGACTCAGCCTCAAATGAGTACTCGGTGCGGTTTGTCGTAAACATCGCCACTCGGGAGACAAAGGCGGCCGGGGGTGGTGCTGGCCACCCGCCACCTCGTGTGCCGTGTCGGCCTTCATCGGTGCTGCTCGCTAACGGCACTTGCCCCCAACGGTGTCGCGGGCTACACGGGGGACCTTTGTCTTTGTGCGCCCAAGGAACGCGACTGGCGCGTTGACGATGCCCGACTGGCACGGCGAGACTCCTCGCTCCTTTCGCTTCGATGCGCTCTTCACAACAACAACAACAACGAAACATCACCGGTTGTGGTGGTGGTGGTGGTGGAGAATCCGTGCCCTGCTCGTACGCGGCATGGAGACTCCACGCACTCTTTGAGTGCAAATGCGGAACGACGCCATTGCCTTATCTGAAGGTGGTAATGAAAACCATTGATGTGTATATTTGTTTTGTAATTTATCTTCGTCGTCGTTTGTTGTCCCGCGCTCTTGCCCGGTGGAGCTGTACATATCGGCGAGTGGCTGAGGGTGACGATGATGACGATGAGACCACGGGGCCTCTCTGTGCCCCCTGTTGCGTGTGGCTTGCAGCACCGCGCCTCGCTCCAGGCGAGAGCAGAGCGGCTGCCAGAAGCGACTTTTATTTGGGCGATGTGCTATGATGAGATGCAAGGGTCGTCGCCCGAAACGTCGTCGGTTATATGTTGTTGTTCGTCGAGGCCACACTCGCAGTGTTATGGGCGGATGCGTGGAGTCTAAATCGTAGCACAGTGCAATCTTATCTTGAATCTTGACTTAAAGCTTTCGTGACTGCAGGAATTCATATTCGTTGGGTCTTTCGGTAAAGCCACGTAGGTAGAAAAAATAATAAAAATCTTGTAATAATCAACATAATAATCAAACTAATAATAAAAATAACAATATCAGAGTGTTATCATTTTGATTATTTTTTCTATCTACGTGACTTTACCGAAAGACCCAAAGAATATAATCTTATCTTGATCTAACACGTCGTCGTCGGCGGCTTTCGCGACCAATGTTATCCATAACAGAGGTGTTTTGGGTGAGATCGCGTGAATATGAATGTGTGTCGTTAAACCCGCCACCACCCGACACAGCAAATCAGTGAAGGGGTGTGTCAACAAAACGTGTAGTGTATAGTAGTGTATAGTGTAGTGTATAGTGTAGTATACTAGTTCAGCACTCACTGGTTGTTGTGTGTTGGAGAGAAAACTCACTACAACATTTACAATTATAGTGTAGTGTATAGTGTAGTGTATCGTGTAGTGTATCGTGTAGTATACTAGTTCAGCACACACCGGTTGTTGTGTGTTGGAGAGTAAACCCACTACAACATTTACAATTATAGTGTAGTGTATAGTGTAGTGTATCGTGTAGTATACTAGTTCAGCACACACCGGTTGTGTTGGAGAGTAAACCCACGACTACATTTACAATTATAGTGTAGTGTATAGTGTAGTGTACAGTAGTGTAGTGTATAGTGTAGTGTATAGTCTGGTGTATAGTGTAGCGTATAGTGTAGTGTAAAGTGCAGTGTATAGTGTAGTATATAGTCCAGTGTATAGTGTAGTGTATAGTGCTGTGTATAGTGTAGTGTATGTTGGAGAGTAAACCCACGACTACATTTACAATTATAATGTAGTGTATAGTGTAGTGTACTAATACAGTACTAACTGGTTGTTTTGCATTGGAGAGTAAACCCACTACAACATTTACAATTCTAGTACCGTGACGTTTCGCCAGCAAATACAACGACGACGACGACGACCGGCATCAGGCGGGCAGCCGCAGAGCAGTGGAGCAGTCCCGTAGCAGGATTGCTGGCGAAACGTCGCCCTCGAATTGTAAATGTCGTAGTGGGTTTACTCTCCAACATACACTACACTATACACTACACTATACACTACACTATAATTGTAAATGTTGTAGTGGGTTTACTCTCCAACATACACTACACTATACACTCCACTATACACTGCACTATACACTACACTATAATTGTAAATGTTGTAGTGGGTTTACTCTCCAAGACTCTGGTGTGTGCTGTACTAGTATCGAATTATCACGTTTTGTTCACGTGACAAACCTTCCTAATTGGCCGTGTCGGGTGGTGGCGGCTTTAACGACACATTTATATTGACGCCATCCAACCCATAAAAAAACACCTCTTATGGACAATCTTATCTCACATAGATTCATATCGCAGCGCCTTATCTCAAGGCGCCTTTTACAAGAATTATACAATTGTACGTAAGATTATCGTGGTTGAGAATCAGAATCTTTATTTAGACTGGTGGTGTCGTGGTGGTGTCGTGGTGGTGACAGCAGGCGGGAGTCGTTAAGGAGGGGTTGGGGTAGTGATAGGGGTTGGGGTAGTGGTATAGGTTGGGGTAGTGATAGGGGTTGGGGTAGTGATAGGGGTTGGGGTAGTGATCGGGTTTGGGGTAGTGATAGGGGATGGGGTAGTGATAGGGGTTGGGGTAGTGATAGGGGTTGGGGTAGTGATCGGGGATGGGGTAGTGATAGGGCTGGGGTAGTGATAGGGGTTGGGGTAGTGATAGGGGTTGGGGTAGTGATAGGGGTTGGCGTAGTGATAGGGGATGGGGTAGTGATAGGGGTTGGGGTAGTGATAGGGGTAGTGATGGGAGTTGGGGTAGTGATAAGGGTTGGGGTAGTGGTATAGGTTGGGGTAGTGATGGGGGTTGGGGTAGTGATAGGGGTTGGGGTAGTGATCGGGGATGGGGTAATCATAGGGCTGGGGTAGTGATAGGGGTTGGGGTAGTGATAGGGGTTGGGGTAGTGATCCGGGTTGGGGTAGTGATAGGGGATGGGGTAGTGATAGGGGTAGTGATAGGGGTTGATGTAGTGATAGGGGTAGTGGTAGTGATAGGGGTTGGGGTAGTGATAGGGGTAGTGATAGGGGTTGATGTAGTGATAGGGGTTGGGGTAGTGATAGGTGTTGGGGTAGTGATAGGGTTTGGGGTAGTTATAGGGGATGGGCTAGGTCTGGTCATAGCTGGGGTGCGGGAGCGAGGGTTGTTGTCAGGGAGCAAGAGAAGCTGCTTGTCGTTGTTGTTGGGTGTCAGAGTGAATCTGGCCGCTCTGAGTTTGTTTCGGGGCGAGGCCACGCGCGTGCTGAAGCCGCCGCGGGTCCCGGCAGAGCGGCCACGCGAAGTGCTCTGGACGTTCTCGCAACTCGCGGCTGCCCTCGGAAGCGTTCGGTCTCGAGCGAGGCTGTCCGCGGCAGGAGGAGCGGGAGGAGGAGGTGGCGGGGGCGGAGGGTTCGCGGTTCAGCCTCGGGCGGCCGCCCTCGGTCAACACCGCGGTGTCCGTGCCACCCGTAGCGGTGACGGTGCGCTCGCAGCGGGCGCCCTTTGCCAGAGCGGGCCGTCGTGTGCCGGGTGTTTGTCGCGGCCCATATTTTGGCAAAATTTGTCACGGCGTGGGTGCTGATGAGGGTTGATTTGATGAGTTGTTTTGCCAAATTTGGACCGCGACTTTCTCCGTTGGTATCGCGCGAGCACAGCGGGGACGATCATCGGCCCCCTCCCGACAAATGAGTCTTGAGTCTCGGCGAGGCTTGCCCGTGTAAGACAAGCACAACGAGGGAGAATACCAATACATGTGACCATACGTGGTGATGTGTAGACAGTGCAGTGCCACTGCCGCTGCGAACCAAGAGGTTCGTTTTCACTTGGGCTTGTGACTCTTGGGCAAGGCAGAAGTAATCGTGGTCTTAAGTGGCTTTGTCTCTGCTTTCAAAAAAAATGTGTACAAATCAAAAAATACAACTGCTTTGTATCCTTAAAACAGAACATGTAAATAATAACAATGTATGATTCACGCGTGTGTGTGTGTGTCTGTGTGTGTGTGTCTGTGTGTGTGTCTGTGTGTGTGTGTCTGTGTGTGTGTCTGTGTGTGTGTGTGTCTGTATGTGTGTGTCTGTGTGTGTGTGTCTGTGTGTGTGTGTCTGTGTGTGTGTGTCTGTGTGTGTCTGTGTCTGTGTGTGTGTGTCTGTGTCTGTGTGTCTGTGTGTGTGTGTCTGTGTGTGTGTGTCTGTGTGTGTGTCTGTGTGTGTGTCTGTATGTGTGTGTCTGTGTGTGTGTGTCTGTGTGTGTGTGTCTGTGTGTGTGTGTCTGTGTGTGTGTGTGTGTCTGTGTGTGTGTGTCTGTGTGTGTGTGTCTGTGTGTGTGTGGTGGAGGGAGCGGTGGTGCAGCGGTTAGCGCTACGCTGCGCTACGAACCCGGCGATCCGAGTTCGATTCCCGCTCACGGCCGACATCCAGTGACGATTATCTTAACCGGTCCTAGGTCGACTGAGCCTCAAATAAGTACCCTGGTGCGGCGTGTAAACATCGCCGCTGGGGAGACAAAGGCGGCCGGGCGTGGTTTTGGCCACACCACCCCTTCATGTGCCGTGCCGGTTATCAGCGGTGCTCCTCGTTAACAGCACTTGCCCCCAGCATTCTATTCAGGCTACACGGGGGATCTTTGTCTTGCGTCTCGTGTGTGTGTGTCAAACGACAGACGTGACTACCGTCCCCTGCTATGGTGACGGACCAGCGAGATAAAGCGCGAGGTTGAACGGGAGAAGCCGCCTCGCGTAGTTCAAATACGAGACAGACGCATCATTACATTGACTCATCATCAACAACAACCCCCCTCCCCCCGCACACCCCCCCAATTGCAAGCTGCCCAAACCAAAACACGAAATGAGCCAAGGGTTGCCGTCATCGCCTGATGGCGTGGTCTTAATTGCGCTGCTGTTGTTGCTCAGTTGATGACGACGAGGATGTTGATGAGGTTGTTGTTGATGCTGCTGAGTTGACGATGATGACAATGATGTCGATGACCACGATGAGGTTGTTGATGATGATGACAATGATGTCGATGGTGATGACAATGATGTCGATGAGATTGTTGATGATGACAATGATGTCGATGGTGATGACAATGATGTCGATGAGGTTGTTGATGATGACAATGATGTCGATGGTGATGACAATGATGTCGATGAGGTTGTTGATGATGATGACAATGATGTCGATGATGATGATGGTGGTGGGTTGTGAAACTGCCTCTTGCCTTGCCTGTAACCGCACTGCACAATCCCTCTGCCGTGACGGACAATAAATATCCCTTCAGCGCGCGCCCTCTCGTGTGTCAACTCGCACCCTGCACCCCCATAGCCCATCCCCCGCCTCCCCCCATCCTCTGCGTGAGTCTTGACGCATCCCATCAGCCGACAGCAGCCCTCTGGGAGTGCATCGTCCTCAGCGCCGGTGGCGGTGATGCTGGTGGCCACGTGGCACGTGGCGACTGCCCGTGGCCACCCCTCGCTGTTGCAGGCAGCGGCGAGGGTTGGTGGATCACGCGCTGATGTTGCTGTCAAACTCCCTTCCACCCGGGAGAAGGCGGTAACAGCCACATGTGGACTCCACCTGTTCCGTCCGTACAGGGATCGAGCGTTGCCCCCTCGCACGCGTGCGTGTGCGTGCGTTTTTTCCGGGTGCTCCGGATCCCTCCCACGTGTGCACGCTCATTAATTTGGCCGGTAAGACCTTCATATGTAGAGGACCGCAGAGCTTGGGGGGCAATTATTGTGTAGCGCCGCCTCCTCGTCACTGCTGCTGCCTTCCCCCTTCTCGTCTGTGGCTCCTCCTCCTCCTGGCGCCTCTGAGTCGTCCTCTCTCTGAGTCGTCCTCTTTCTCTCTATGAGTCGTCCTCTCTCTGAGTCGCCCTCTCTCTCTGAGTCGCCCTCTCTCTCTGAGTCGTCCTCTCTTTCTGAGTCGTCCTCTTTCTCTCTATGAGTCGTCCTCTCTCTGAGTCGCCCTCTCTCTCTGAGTCGCCCTCTCTCTCTGAGTCGTCCTCTCTTTCTGAGTCGTCCTCTCTCTCTGAGTCGTCCTCTCTCTGAGTCGCCCTCTCTCTCTGAGTCGTCCTCTCTCTTTGAGTCGCCCTCTCTCTCTGAGTCGTCCTCTCTCTCTGAGTCGTCCTCTCTCTCTCTGAGTCGCCCTCTCTCTCTGAGTCGTCCTCTCTCTCTGAGTCGTCCTCTCTCTCTCTGAGTCGCCCTCTCTCTCTGAGTCGTCATCTCTCTCTCTGAGTCGTCCTCTCTCTGAGTCGCCCTCTCTCTCTGAGTCGTCCTCTCTCTCTGAAGGCGCCCTCTCTCTCTGAGTCGCCCTCTCTCTCTGAGTCGTCCTCTCTCTGAGTCGCCCTCTCTCTCTTAGTCGTCCTCTCTGAGTCGCCCTCTCTCTGAGTCGTCCTCTCTCTTTGAGTCGCCCTCTCTCTCTGAGTCTTCCTCTCTCTCTGAGTCGTCCTCTCTCTCTGAGTCGCCGTTTCTCTCTCTGAGTCGCTCTCTCTCTCTGAGTCGCCCTCTCTCTCTCTGAGTCGACCTCCCTCTCTGAGTCGTCCTCTCTCTTTCTCTCTTGAGTCGCCCTCTCTTTGAGTCGCCCTCTCTCTCTGAGTCGCCCTCTCTCTCTGAGTCGTCCTCTGAGTCGCCCTCTCTCTCTGAGTCGTCCTCTCTGTGAGTCGCCCTCTCTCTCTGAGTCGTCCTCTCTCTCTGAGTCGTCCTCTCTCTCTGAGCCGTCCTCTCTCTCTGAGTCGCCCTCTCTCTGAGTCGCCCTCTCTGAGTCGACCTATCTCTCTGAGTCGTCTTCTCTCTCTCTCTGATTCGCCCTCTCTCGCTCTCTGAGTCGTCCTCTCTCTGAGTCGTCCTCTCTCTATTAGTGGCCCTCTCTCTCTGACTCGTCCTCTCTCTGAGTCGCCCTCTTTCTCTTAGTCGTCCTCTCTGAATCGCCCTCTCTCTCTGAGTCATCCTCTCTCTCTGAGTCGGCCTCTCTCTCTGAGTCGTCCTCTCTCTCTGAGTCGTCCTCTCTCTGAGTCGCCCTCTCTCTCTGAGTCGTCCGCTCTCTCTGAGTCATCCTCTCTCTCTGAGTCGTCCTCTCTCTCTGAGCGGTCCTTTCTCACTGAGTCGCCCTCTCTCTCTCTGAGTCGCCCTCTCTCTCTCTCTCTGAGTCGCCCTCTCTCTCTCTCTGAGTCGCCCTCTCTCTCTCTGAGTCGTCCACTCTCTCTCTGAGTCGCCCTCTCTCTCTCTGAGTTGTCCTCTCTCTCTCTGAGTCGCCCTCTCTTTCTGAGTCGCCCTCTCTCTCTGAGTCGTCCTCTCTCTCTCTGAGTCGCCCTCTCTCTCTCTGAGTCGCCCTCTCTCTCTCTGAGTCGTCCTCTGAGTCGCCCTCTCTCTCTGAGTCGCCCTCTCTCTCTGAGTCGTCCTCTCTCTGAGTCGCCCTCTCTTTCTGAGTCGCCCTCTCTCTCTGAGTCGTCCTCTCTCTCTCTGAGT